ACCTCTCTCCTTCCCTTATTCTCTGGCCATTTCCAGTTTCTTTCCACCCTCAAACGTTTAAAACATGGATAGGGACCTCCTTAGCTATTTCTGAAATAGCTTTCTCTCATCGTCACTATACCGACTTCACAAATGGAGGCTCTGAACCTGCATCACCCACCTTTATGCACTGTGTTTTGGGTTCTGTTCTCCAATTCCCAGAATTTTCTGAGGTCACCAAAACTAATGTCCTTTGATTAGTATTAACCCTTCTAAACTTTTCATTTCATTCATCATCTTTTCTTGTTTTTATACAGTTTCTTTGCATAGCTCTGACTGTACCATTCCATTTCTTTCCCCTGTTTCCTTACTTTTTTTTTTGAACAAAGAAAATGACAGCTTTAATGAAATGAAACCCTGTTGTTACCCACATTTCACAGATGTGGGAAGTGGGGTTCAGAGAGGCAGGCCACTGGCCTGTGTGACTGCACAGTCCCCTGAAGCACAAGGCCACCAAGCCCCTGAAGACCCCAAATCACCCCTGAACCCAGTAGGTGACTACCAGTTAAGGAGGGGACACCACCTCAGCTCAGGTTTTGGGGATAAAAGACCAAAGATAAGTGATGTCCCCGCAATCCCCTAAATCCAGGGGGTCAGGTTTCCTGGGGGCTCCCAGCGGGGCCAGCTTCCCGGGTTAGAGCGGGCATATAGCTGAAGGAGGAGGACAGGCAGGGGTTCCAGTTGGGCTGCTGACCTCCACGCGCTGGGCCGTGGTGCTGGCCTCCACCGTGTGGATCTTCCTTGCTCCAGCTTGGGCGGCAAAAAACGGCACTTGTCCTTGAAGTCCGCGTGGTTCTGCAGTAGCGCACGCTGGTAGGTGCCTGCCGCACGTAGTCCTGCACCACGTTCTGCTGCTGGGACAGGTGGCCATAAAAGTGGAAAAACTGCTCGGTGGACTCTTCCGTCCGCTCGCTGAACACCGCCCGTTCCGGGGTACGGTCCCGGCAGGACTTCAGGGTGTTGTAGAAGGAACAGAAATCATGGGGTGTAGCTAACTGGAAGAGGCCGCTGTTGCAGCCCAGGGTGATGAGGAAAGGATGCTTGCCCACGTGACTGCACTGCGTCTCACGGGACACTGAGCACTTGAATGCACATATAACTTCATGGCTGAAGAGGGCAATGCCTGCCGACTCTGGGCCTGCGCCTCCACGTGCTGCTGGATCTGGCCATTCGCGTCGCCAATGGTGAGGAGGCAGCACCAGGGAACATGGACACAGTCGCGCAGGGCCCCACCTGTTTCCTTACTCCTATCTATTCCCTTTTATCTCCTTTCCCTGCCCCTCATAGGCGATCATTCTAATGAGTTTAATGTGTATTATTTGTTTGTGTTCTTGCAAGACATGTCTTCTTAGGGCACATTTGCTTTTTCCATTAAAATGTTTTATGTGGGCCGAAGCCGGTTTGGCTCAGTGGATAGAGCGTCGGCCTGCGGACTGAAAGGTCCCAGGTTCGATTCCGGTCAAGGGCATGTACCTGGGTTGCGGGCACATCCCCAGTGGGAGATGTGCAGGAGGCAGCTGGTCGATGTTTCTCTCTCATCGATGTTTCTAGCTCTCTATCTCTCTCCCTTCCTCTCTGTAAAAAATCAATAAAATATATTAAAAAAAAAATGTTTTATGTGGAAAATTTCAAAGGGCACAAATTGAGAATATTATAATGAACTCCTACGGACCGTTTAGCCAGATTTGACCATTACATTTTGCCGACACTTCATCTAGCCCCTGTACTCTTTTGGAGGAGGGCTGGAGTTTTTAAACGCAAATCCCAGACATAATGTAATTTCTCTTACGAAGGCCTCATTATCTGCCTCTAAATTAAAACACCCAGCGTATGCTATGCTAATATTATCTGATACTTATAGTCAATTTTCCCCTAGATTCTTGCAAATATCTTTTTACACTTGGTTTCTTCTAATTTATGTAAATTGTGTTGTAGAGCTCATTGTTTCTAACTTTTTTCACTAAGTGCTATGTTACTGTGTCGTATCTAACAACTGAGTAATACTCCATAGTATGCAACCACCATATTTTTCCGATTAATCTCTGAATGTAGGGCATCAGGTTACCTCCAACTCCCCACCATTGTATACAAGGTTGAAATTAGCATCCTTATGTTGATTATTAATGCCCTAACAGATCCATGTGAGAATTTGGGAGGGTATAAACTCAGGGTGAAATTGCTAGGTTGTTCTCTAGAAACCAGTCCATCCTTCTACCTATAGCTGTGAAAACAATAATGACTATCTGTGTGGGAGATGGAAGAGAGCGATCATCATTCCCTCTTCAGTCTTATATTTTGTTAACATCAATGTTTTTTTAAAATATATTTTATTGATTTTTTTACAGAGAGGAAGGGAGAGGTATAGAGAGTTAGAAACATCGATGAGAAACATTAATCAGCTGCCTCCTGCACATCCCCTACTGGGGATATGCCCACAACCAAGGTACATGCCCTTGACCGGAATCAAACCCGAGACCCTCCAGTCCGCAGGCCGACGCTCTATCCACTGAGCCAAACTGGCCAGGGCAACATTAATATTTTTACCTTCCACTTTTAGGTCTGTAGTTCATTTTGATCAGTGCTGTCCAAATAGAAATATGTGAGTCATATACATAATTTAAAATTGTCTAGTAAACACATTTAAAAAGTAAAATGAACTTTAATACTTTTGAAACCCAATATAGCTAAAAGATCATTTCAACATATAATCAATATAAAAATTCATTTTTGTTTGTTTTTGTTAATCTTCACCCAAGGATATTTTTTCCATTGATTTTTAGGGAGAGTGGGAGAGAGAGGGGAAGACAGAGAGAAACATTGATATGAGAGAAACACATCGATTGGTTGCCTCCTGCACGAGTCCCAACCAGGGCCTGGGCCAGGGAGGAGCCTGACCTTGACCAGAATGGAACCCTGGATCCTTTGGTTTGCAGGCCGACGCTCTATTCACTGAGCCATATCGGCCAGGGAAATATAAAAATTCTTAATGAGCCCTGACTGGTTTGGCTCAGTGGATAGAGCGTCGGCCTGTGGACTGAAAGGCCCAGGTTCGATTCCGGTCAAGGGCATGTACCTTGGTTGCGGGCACATCTCCAGTAGGGTGTGTGCAGGAGGCAGCTGATCGATGTTGCTAACTCTCTATCCCTCTCCCTTCCTCTCTGTAAAAAATCAATAAATATATTTAAAAAATTCTTAATGAGATATCTTAACTTCTTTTTTTTCCTCTTCAGTCTTTGAAATCCAGTGAGCAATTTGCACTTACAGCACATCTCAATTCAGCTAGCCATATTTCAAGTGCTCAGTAGCCACATGTGGCTTGCAGCTGCTGTATTGGACAGCACAGATCCAGCATTCACCCTTGGAGATGATCGTATTAGGTAAAAATGTAAACATATTTTTAAAAATAATTACTCCATTTTTATGTCCATATTTCCCCATTGATATGTGGTGCCCACATTATTGTATTTTTGTGCTCTAACCTGTCTCACATCCCTCACAGCTCCATACCATTCTGCCTTCTTTCCTGGAACTTTTCTTCCACTCAGATCTAACGTGTCTCCCAAGGCTCACTTCCTGACCTTAGGCTTATCTTCTATGTCCTGTCCTTGAGGCTTCATGCACTCTGGTAGCTTTAGCTGCCGGGTGTATGTACATGACGCCCAAATCCCACTTTCATTCCTTTTCCATTCACAATGACTGATTGCACCATTCTGTAGGACCCTCACTTATCTTTTATACAAAATGATAATTGCTCCATTAATTTCTCACCCCCATATACATTTCCTCCTAAATTTTCCAATTATTGCTTTCCTCCCAACCCCCAGGCCTGCCTTCTTAGTGTGTAAATACCCAGATTCCCTGAACATTCCACAATGCTGACTTTTCCTGCATATAATGGGGATTTCATAGTTGTACCCGAAGAACAAGAAGTTACAGTGGTGATGTATTCTCCCATTTAGTCCATGACAGATTGTTTTAGTTACATTTATCTACATGTTTACTATGGATATTTCCAAATCTAATTTTCTTAAGAGAAAGGGAAAATTATTCTGTGGGCCATCTGGTCTACCAGATCGCATGGTTGGAAGCCATTCTGGGGCTGTGTTGTGCTAGTCCTGGGCCTGCACACACCTGACCCTGTCTTTGTCATGGCTGATGATAGGGGTCTGCTCAACCAAGGCCCTTAGCCAATTGTGCTAAAGATAGGGCTGCTTTCCTATAAAGACCTTCTCTGAGCCCCCAAGGAAATGGTTGTGTGTGAATGGGAAACAATGAAAGAACAAAGGTTTTCCTGTAGGAGGCCACTAAGGCAAATACTATTTGCTCTGAAACCTCCAATTACCAGGCCAGAGACAAGGGGGAGTCCTTTTTTTCCTACTTTACTAGGTCTAGAATATTCCTGTTTGTGTATTTATACACTTAGGATGTACTTTGTGGCTTCTCAAGGTATTGTTATTCTATTTCAGTGGACTCGGAACTTACAACTTATCTGATCCCTGTCTGAACACCCTGGATCTTCTCATTTGGGGAGGAGACAGGAGGTGGGATCAGTAATCACCCTCTATGTGCCATATTCTCCAGTTGGGCTGAGCATGGCTGAGACTAGGTTGTGGCAATGCTCTTCAATCTTTCCAATTCGTTTTCTTAGTCTTTTGTTTTTGAAAACAGTTGGGAGAATCACAAGTGAAGAATGCTGTACACCAGGGAGATAGTCGTTCACTGCTTGTTCACATCATTCTGACCCATGGTGAACTTCTTTGGTCTAAAAGGAGGCTTGACATTGGTCAAACTGGAGGTCATTCTCATGGGAAAATTAGACCAAGGTATGGAGGCTCTCAAAATAATGTGGTTCTTTGAGGGCTTGGAGGCTGGGACAGAATGGAGACTGGAGCCAAAGGGGAAAACATGGGCACAGGCAGGGAGCTTGGGGTCAGGAAAGCAAAGACACCATGAGGCAGTAAGAGAAGCTGAGCTGTTTAATCACCTCCTTGGCCAGACTCAATCAAGGCTGTGGTTGCCCTGAACAACTCACACCTGGAAGCCATTAAAAGTCACTGGAGATGGAGTGGCCGCTTGAGTCAGAGGATGAAGAAGGATGGAATGGGGAGCTTCGGTGTCTCTGACTCCATAATCCGGCCATCTTGCCCCCAGGTCCTGCTTCAGCTCTTAGAGGTTCCTGGCTGGTCCCCAGGGGCCAGGCACCAGACAGCGTGCCCTAGCTGTGGTGGGAGAATGACCCTGAGGCAGGGGCAGCCATTCCCCACGTGGCCTACACTGAGGGTGCGGCACTGTCCGCACTGTGGTGGGAATCGAGGTTTAAGGCTGGGGAAGAGGGAAGTCGGGGGAGTAGAATCGGGGGTTGCCCGGGTCCCACCACCAGTCCGGAATTAAATAGCAGAAGAGAAGGGTTGTCCATGGGAACACTGACTTGTCCCCAGAGACAGTTCCTGGTGATGGGCTGACCTTGGCAACAGACCCTAGCAGCAGGCAGTTGTCCTGACAAGAGGGTGGTCCCAGTTGACAGTCCCTGGCAGTTTCCTGAACAAAGGGAGGAGCTAGCCGGGGAGTCTTGCCCCCAACTACTTATTCTTCTTGAAGAAGCTGAAGCGCTTTTCTCGCTCTCGTTCTCGGCCGTCCTTGCTGCGAAGTACCACGGGCCCCTCAGCCCCGACCGGTGACACTGGGGGCATTGTCATGGCCCGGGTCATGCCCCGGGTGGCACTGGGCACCGTTGGCTCTTCAGGCTCTCCAGAGGCAGAGGACGCAGCGGCAATGGCTGCATTCACCACCCGCAGCCACGAGCTCATCTCTGCCTACAGGGAGCATGGAGACAACTGGTCAGCTTCAAGGGCGCTGAGTGAGGCCTCCGGCCTGTGGGCAGCGGGGAAGCTCGGGAGGAGGCGGCAGAAAAATGGTTTGACTATTTCATGTCATTGGAGAGAAAGGCGCCTTAAGACAGGGGACATGTTTTGGTGTGGCCTTCGCACCGGGGGCTGTCTGATTACAAAGACTGAGACACTTAAGGAAAAAGAGAGCGAAGGGAAGAAAGGAGAAGCTATAATTGGAGGTTCTAAGAATGGCAATGGGGAGACAGGTGTGGGCGGAGAGGGGGCAGCTCACCTCATCCTTGGCTTGGAATAAATATTCTTTTCCATCCTGTAAGCTGTTGAGAGAGAGAGAAGCCTCAGGACAGAGCTGAGAATCGGGAGTGGCCCCATCAGTGCTGGTAGGAGTTCAATCATCAGCCAGAGGCCAGGCTGCAGAACATGCCTGCTGGGGCCCTCGGAGCCAGGCCAGACACCTCTGCACATCCTCGTCTCAGGACTGTGCGAAAGCAATGCTTCTTGATTGGCTACAGAGGACCAGGATGACCTCACTTCCACCCCAGGCTATGCCTCCAGCTCTGGTGCTTGCTGGTGGCCGGGGCAGGCTCCTGGAGGTCCCTGGAGGCAGGGGAATGCCAGCACCCTGTCCTCAGATATCCCACCTAAGACAATTTTTCAGCCTGACATGGTCAGCCATCAGGCCTGAGTCTTGGAGTTCCTGCTCCCCTTGGTGTGAAACATAATGTACCCCCTGGCTCCCCGCTTCTCGAATCTCTCCACCTGTCCCCAAATGCCTGGCCCTGTAACTCTACCCTTCTTCATCTTGTATCGCTCTGACTCCCCCTCCCATCCTGAGGGCACAGTTCTGTTCCTACCCCAGCTTGAAAACATGTTTGCGCTTCCGATAATCCAAGGCGACACTGCCCTGGGCCCTGGCCAGGCTGACAGGCACTTCTCCGTGGTACGGCACTCCCGTGCTGGCTGCCTTCACGTCCTTGTAGAAACCCAGGCTCCCATGCCGCAGGACACAGTACACATTCTGCCATGACCTGGGAGGGACATGGTGCAGGTGACGAAGCGAGACAGGCAGACGGACCAGCTTTTATGGGGGCTGGGAGCTCTGGGGCGAGCGGGGGTGTTCTAGGATTTCCAGTGCCACTCTGTTCTCAGGCCTGTCATTTTCACACCCTCCTGGCCTTCGGGAGGCCCCACTCTGCTCCTGAGTCCTACCCCTTCCCTAGAGGACTCCCCTCCTGCAGGGCACCCCCACTCCTCCCCATCTATTCAGGAAGAGGTTCTGGGGAAGCCTCTGAGAGGCAGTGACCCGCTACCTGTTGGCAGCCTTCTTGCCGAAGGCCTCCATCTCCTGCTTGCGGCACAGCATCCCCTCCATCTGCTCCTGGGCAGAGAGCTCTGGGCCTCGAGAGGGCAAGGTGGCAACCCGGGCTGACTCAGATGACCGGCTCTGGGGCAGGACAGGAGGACCCGAGCCCTGTTTCCGGGTCTGCCTCTCTCCCTGGGGCCCGTTGGTCTCGTCTCCTGGGCCAGACGCCTGTGGGGAAGAGAGTCTGTGTCAAAGGATGAGGGGCCGATAACCAGCCTGGGTGTCAGAAGCCTGAAGTCCACGAGCTGGGTTTTCTGCCCCCAAGTGTCCTTCGAGCCTCTGCCCGCTCCGGACCTCAGTGTCCCCACCACCCAGCGCATACTCCTCTTCGTCCCTCCACTACCAACACCCACACCTCCAGGAGGAACTCACAGGCCCTTCTGGGAAGCTGCCCTGCTCAAGTCTTTGTTGTTCCAACAGGGGCTACAAGGACAAGAAGCTTTAAGAGTATGTGCAGGGCACGGGGCTGAAATTCTGAGAGGGCACAGGGGTGTGGGCTCACCTGGGGGGACTCCCCGTCTGTGCAGACTCCGTTAACGTTGGCTGCCTGTGTGGGTGCTGGTAGCCGGGGGTGGGCTCTGGAGACGACACAGAATAATGTAAGTCCTTGGGCTGCTTAGCTTCAGCCTCCTCCTCCTCCCCAGATGCCCCCGCTCGCACCCGTCCCAGGAAGCATCAGGAGCCGTCTGGCCGTCCACAAGGACCCCTCCGGGCAGACTGGCTGTGGGCTCTGGAGCAGGGGGCTGTTTTCTCCGTTCCTCCTCTTCCCTCTTTCTTTTCCGCTCCTTCTCCTGCTCCTCCAACTGTCAAAACATTCTGAGGTCAGAGCATAGGCCTCATTTAAAAGGACCAGGGAGGTGGGGAAGATGAAATGTGTCAGCTCTGGTCTGCGGAAACAGAAAGGAAACTATAATTCCATGAGAAGAAACGGGGGAGGAGGTGTCTCACAGCGTCACTCGGGGGAATGAAGACTCCTAAAGCTGTGGTGACAACATGGCACTCTTGGCTCACATCTGGGAGATGCTGGTGCAGTGGGAGGCGGGGGACTGTCTTCTTCCAGCGAAAGGGAGCGCAGGCCCGGGGGTGCGGGGCGGGGCGGGGCATCCCGGGGGTCCTGCGGCCCTCACCGCGGTGAGCTTCTCCAGCGCGCTGAAACGCTCCTCCCAGGCCACTGCTGACTTCTGGAAGGCCTCGTGCCGCTTGATGAGGTTCTCGACTTCATCAACTGTGCAACCCAGCTCAGCACTTCGCACCAGTGGCTCCTGGCTGCACAGCCAGGCCTCCGCCATACCTGCGTCTCTTCCAAACACGAGCACCTCCAGAACTGCAGGGATGGGGGCGGTCACAGGAAGTGGCAGGTCAGAGTGGACCTTGGCAGAGCACTGTAACCATGTCAAAAATAGGGCACAGAGAACGCTCCTGCCCCAAAGCAGGAGCACAGGGCAGAGCCAAGGGCGGGAGCCTCCAACTCCATGCCCAGGATTCCTGGTCTTACTCTGGGAACTACAGGATTCAAGACCCCCAGCCCCTCCTGGCTGGGCCTGGCACCCTCACCAAGCTGGAGCCAGTCCATCTTCTCCTGCCACTTGTCTGCGGTCTCCTGGCGCCGTGCCTGCAGCTGAGACAGCTTCTCTGAGATCTGGGGGGCAGGGCGGGGTGGGGAGCAGAGATGCGAGTTAGCACCCCGCTGGGCTTTTCGGAGACTCTGGGGGACTGACACAGGGGAACTAGTGATTTTTGATTTCAAGGGGCAGACAGTTTTGGGTGGTGCGGGGGGTGGGGGGGATGGAATGGGACTCCCTGAACAGCACTGAGGGGAGAGAGTGAAAGGTTTCTGTAAAGAAAGGATGAGGAAGCAGAAAGACTCAGGGGAGCAAACGCAGCATTAAGGCCCCTGCCATAAGGATGACCCGGTTGTGCCCAGGCCTCGCCCACCTCCTCAGCTGCATAGTGGCTCCTGGCGAGCAGCCCCTGCCCCATGTCGATGCAAGAAGAGAAGCGGTCGGCCCTGGCCTCGATCTCTGCTTTGATGCCCTGGTGGTTCTTGATAACCATGTCTGCGGAGGACACATCCCTGGGGGTACAGAGACCACATCACAAGCCTGCTGCCCACGACCCTTTCCCAGCCACCAGCTCCCAACCTCTGTAGGCCAGGGGCACCGCGGGCCTCACCGGGGCCGCTCCTGGGCATCCATCTGCAGGTTCACCCCGTCCATCCACAGCATCAGCTCCCGGACAGCCATGAAGAAGCGGAACTTGTCCGTCGTGTCCAGCAGCAGCTGGCGGCGGGCAGCAGAGTTTCCCTGAAGCTGGGCCCAGGCCTCCGTCACAGCCTGCATGTGGTGGCCGATCTCCTCGGCCTTGTCTCCGGCGTAGGCCTTCTGGAGCCGGTGGCCATCGTCCTGCACCTGCTGGACCTGCAGGGCCCAGCTCCGAGTCAGGCAGAGCTGGAGGTTCTGAGGAGCTGGAGTCTCCTCCCCCACGCCCCACCCTGGCCTCTGCTCACCGGCCCGGCCTGCCCATTTACCAGCTAGAGGAGCAGAGGAGGAGCAGGGGGTGGGGCTGGGAAAGATGACAGCTGGTGCCCAGAGTAAGCTTTGTCATACTCTGCCCTGTTGGGTCCCAAGTGGGAGCCTGGGCTTAGCCTGGGGAGCAGCCCTTTAGAAGGGCGACTAGCCAGCTGGGCTTTTGGAGGCTTGTCCAAGACGTGAGAGGCCCCCGGAATGGCTAGAATGAGATTTTCAGCCTGAAAGAGGGATTGGATGGGGGTGACTGGGTTTAAATGGTTGCAGGAAGGGTCTATTCTTGGTTTGTGTGGGTCTAGAGGTCTCGTTGGGTGGGCCAATAGCTGGATTTTAGTACAACGTGAAGAATACTCTAGCCTTTGGGACCATGTGACGATGTCACAGGCCCCCAGGAGGCTTGTCACTGAAGGTGTGAATGTGGTGGTGAGATGTCCTCTGGCCAGAGATGTTTACATAGAGCAATTCCACCTCATCCCTGAGGGGCCCCCTGGCCTTTTCTACCAAGTCCCTTCCAGGCCTCCCCCGACCTCACTTGCTGAGTCAGACCTGGGCGCTGAGGGCCTGGATGTCGTGCTCGAAGGCACAGTGCCGGCGCTGCAGGGCTTCGGCGGCGTTGAGGTCTCGGCCGGTCCCATCGGGAAGCTGCTGCTGCTTTTGCTGCACCCGCGCCAGGGCCTGGCGGGCCCCGTGCAGGAAGCGCTGTAGCTCATACGCGGCTGCCAGCACCTGGCCCCGCGTGTCCAGCAGCTCGAGCAGGTCAGCCCAGGCCTCGTTGAGGCTGTCCTTCCACTCGGCCACGGTGGCCCGGGCGGCATGGCCCCCATCGATGAGCCCGTTGGCCAATGCGTTGGCACTATCCACGCGCTCCTGGCCGATGGTGCTCGTGTCCCGGGAGAACTCTCGGAACTTGTCCCGCAGCATCTGGTGGAGGGAACAGTTGCACAGACAACTCTGACTCTGGCCCCTGCCTAACAGGATGCGGGGGCGGGGGTGAGTCTTCTCTCCCCTGGGCCACACGGACCAAAATCGGTTTCTCCAGCTGGGCTAAGCCCGCGAGCAGATGCCAGTGGTTCCCAGTGACCCTGGATTTGATGGAACACCCAGGCCCTCAACAAGGCAGTGGGGGCGCTTGCAGCCCTCAGCCTACAGACAGGGGTACCTTACACTGACTAGTTCCGTTGGAAAAGAGCGATTGCTAATTTCCTTTCTACCCAGTTTTGCGCAGCCTCAGTCCTCCTTTCTGCACAATTCTTCAACTTAAATACCTCGAAACCCAGGAGGACCATGCTGCTCAGCCTGGTCTGCACCCACCCCGTGGTGCCCGCGCAGGATGGGGCCCTAGCCTCCCAGGGGGCCTCTACTCGCCCAGGAGCTGACCTGCGGCTGGTGTCCTCTCCACACTCACCGTCACGTGCTCGTAGTCCTGGCCCAGCTCGTGGGAGGCTGCCACCACCTCGCGCTCCTGGATCCACTGCTCCAGGTCGTCCAGCTCCCGGCGCAGCTGGCACAGCCTCAGGTGTTCCTGCAGGCGCTCCCGCCGCTCCCCAGCCAGCTCCTTCAGGCTGGCGTACAGCTTGTCCACCTGGGCTTGGCGGATGGATATCCGCGTGCTGTGGGGGAGGGGAGCGGCCCAGCACTTAGGATCCCCCGCTCGGATCCCCCGCCTGCCCCATAGAGTCCTGTCCCTCTTAGCCGACCAACGGCACCTGCCTGGACGGATCTGTGTGCACGTACCCGGGAGGCTCCATCTTCCCTGCACCTTCTTGGAGCTGCTCCCCTCTCCCCCAGGCGCTGGGTCCCCTGACGCCGCTCTGCTCACCTCTCTGGGTGGTCGTGGTCAATCATATCTTGGCTGCTGGCTGCCAGCTGGTGGATGGTCTGGGCGTAGTCAGCCAGGGCTTGCTCCAATACCTGATGCTTCTTCACCTCGGCCTGGGCGCTCAGCTCATCCTGGGGACCGGACAGTGGGCATCAGGGAGGGTCACGGGGAGGAGAGAAGCAGGTGACAGCCTGGCTCTGCTCTGGTCCTCACCTTGGCTTTCTCCTGGCCCATCATGTGTAACTCCTGCTCCCCCATCCAGGCCTCGGCCTCGGCGGCATCTCGGTAGAACTGCTGGGCTCGCAGGGCCTCTTCGAGTCGCTTCCCTCGAAGCTCCAGCTCATGGCTCAGGCGCTTCCACATTTCCTGTAGCTCAGCCAGCTCCGGGCCTGCCGCGGCCGCACCCAGGGCACGCTGCCGCTCCCTTAGGTCCGCAATCCGTGGCTCGTGGCCTTGTATCTCCTTTTGCAGCGTCTGTTCCCAGCAGCAGCAGAGCACACACTGAAAAGCTTGCTAAGGGGCCCCCTTACACCTACTCAACGTCAGGCCCCCTCACCCTCTTGCTTCTCCCCCTTCCTGAATCCTCTGCACTGCCCCTCCCTTCCGGCCCCAGGATGTGGTGGGAAAGCTCCAATTCCATGATCTTCTCCTGGGGGAACCCACCCTCCGCGGCGAGCGAAGGCCAACCATGAAGTCCAGGGTCACACACAGCATCGAGGGGGAGCCAGAGAACCCCCCGGTCTTAAGAAAACCATCTCCCTGTCCCAGGAGGCTCTTGGGACCGTTCCTTTTGCCTCTGCCTCTGCCTCACCTGGTTTTTCTTCATGAGGAGCTGGACACTGGGCAGGTCCTTGCCATGCTCCCTGGAGCTGGCCATGGGCAGACGCTCCGTCACCCACAACTGAATGAGAAAGGAGGGGTGAGTGGAGGTCCGCAGGGCAAAGTAGAAGCTGGGAGCTGGAGAGCAGGTCAGCTGGGGGGAGGTGTCCTAGGGCTCCTGGTGTGTGCAGGAAACGACCATCTCTGGTTCTGGGGAAAAGGGACTTCCAGGGCATCCCCAAGTGTCCCTAGAGGGTTGGTTTTCAATGCCAAAGGGGAGGAGAACACGGCTAGCGTTTCCACAGCGCAAGGCAGGGGGCAGTTTGCCGTGGGGACGACACTACCGGATCCCCGACCCTAGTGACTCACGATCTCGTCCTCCACATCCCGGTGGAACTGATGCTGCTCGCGGGAGGCCTGCAGGCGCTGGCAGCGCTCCCTCATGGGCTGGCACAGGGCCCTGAACTTCTCCTCCACAGCCCGCGAGGTCCTCTCCACCTCCCCTGCACCCTGGTCTTCCTGGGCCAGAGCTTTGGCCTGGGCCTGGATGGCCTCCACCTCCTTCTCCCGCACAGCCATCTCCCGTTCCAGCATCTGCGGGCCGCAAGAGGAGGATGTTATTATCCCCGTGCGTCCACCATCAACCTCAGAGGGGCCCCTCGTCAATGTCAAGCCCATCGTGATTACTTACCCTGGGCTCAGCCCAGGGAGAGCATCCTCCCGGCCTAGATAGTGGATCTCAAGCTTTAATATACATAGGAGTCCGGGAAGGGGGCCCTGATAACTGTGCCAGTTAGCAATCCATTGCCTCTCAGTCCCACATCCACCTTTCCTGCCCTTTGGAGACATGAGAACTGGGCCCTGGAGATATTTCTGCTTTGCCAGCTGGTGCAGTGCTGGGCCCTGCCAGTAGAGGGTGACGGAGGGACACCACAGGCACAGAGAGGGAGGCTTTTGCTTTTGGCTTTTCTCCCAGTGCCTCCGCAAAACTGCCCACGGTGTCCAGGAGACCCAGTGGCCATCACCCCCCAGCAAGTTTCCCTGGCATCAGTGATGACGTCCTGCTGGCCAGCTTTGGCCTGCCAGCTTCAGACCTGCTCTGGCCCGTGATTCCCCAGCAAATTCCCAATGCCATTAGCGGGCCTCTGCCCTCGCCAAAGAGTTCCAGAACTGAGCCTTGGGGTGTCTGAGAACAACCCCCCCCAATCTCCAGAGCTTCAGGCTGCCTCTCCTGTCTCCTGCAGTCATCACTCCAGCAAAGGCTCCCGCGCACCTGCTGCTTCTTGAGCAGAATGTTGACGCTGGTGAGGTCCTTGCCGTAGTCGTCGGAGTGCAGCTGGGCCTGCAGGCTCAGCAGCCAGCTCTCCAGGGCAGAGCAGCTCTGGGCAAACAGCTCTGCCCGGTTGGCGTCGAAGAGGCTGCGGGCCTTGGCCTGGGTGGTGGTCTCCAGCTCCTCCCAGCGCCTGTGCAGGTCCCCCAGCTTCTCCGACACCAGGGCTTTCAGCTCTGGCTTCTCGAGGCTCAGCTCCCGCCCTTCCTGGATGGTGGGGCAAAGACGGGTGTTAGAATTAGACACCACAGCGCTGAACAGGCCAGAGAACTAAGGGGCAGCGGGGACCTAAGTTGAGCAATAATTCCGAGTTCTTGTGTGTCCTCCTTAACACGCTCTTCTAGAAGGTTTGGACCCCCCTCTAAACTTCCCTACCTCACTGCTGATCACACTCAGTTCCCCTTCAAGGTCCAGGTCAAATCTCATCTCAACTAAGGAGCCTCTGCGATCTCCCCTATTTCGAGTTCCCTAGTGCTTGCCGTTTCTAGTGATACATCACACATGGTCTTGTGTTATTTGTTATCGTTTCATTTTTCTCAGCTCCTCACCCCTCACCTGACCTGTGGCAAGTGAATCTCTCCTGTCCCCCCACTCCCAGCCTTTCTGCTGGAGGGCTTTGTTTCTGGGGAGGTGAGGGAAGAAGAGTCCCTCGACCTGCAGGCAAGGCAGTGACGGACGGAGTGGTGGACAAACAGCGTTTTGGTGCTTTGGTTGGGATGACCCTGACGCATGCTCGGCGCCCAGGGCGCCACATTAGGACTGAGCACCAGCTGCCCACTGGGGTAGCCAGCGTGGCAGTGGGCCCTTTCCTGACTACCTACCCCGCTCTGTCTCAGCTGCCCACTGCCCACAGGGGTTTCCTATGACCAACTCCCATTTTAATGGCCTGCACGCGAAGCCCTGTTTCAGGGGAACAGAAATCACAACACGTAGTGTCAGAGTCTAACGCTGCTGGGGTAACTTCACAAACCTTTAGTGGATTATGCACAGTCCTTACGTGGTGACCAGGGCTTTTCATGACCATTTCTGGCCCAGGATTCTCCCACCTTTTCCTCCCGGGGGCCCCTTCACGCAGTCTGTGTTCCTAGATTGGCTTACCCCTTGGCTCCTATAGACACCCACTTCCACCTCTCTGGTTTCCAGCTGCACTGTGTCTCTACCTAGAAATATCTTCCCTCCAGTATCTCTGCTCGTCCAAATCCCACTCATCCTTCACGCCTGCCCTGAGGCTCCTGCTTCTAGGATTCCCACCCTGTCTCTCAGAGAGTCCAGGCTTTACTGGCTCTCTTACTGTGCTCCCAATATTCTGCTTTAGATTTAACTTATCTACTTGTGTATATGACTCAGATCCTGGCCACAGTGTTATCCTGGAGGGTAGAGCCCGCAGTGGCATCACCTGTCCCCCCTGAAGATACAAGGCTTTGCATATTGTAGCACCAAGTAAATGTTTGCGGAACAAATGGAAACACGGAATAAACACTGGTCTCCTCTTCTGCCCAACCAGTGTGCCCCTGAGGGAAGGAAAGTATCTTTTTTATATACCGTGCAGCCCCTATCAGAGTGCTGAGCACATATAATCTTGTCCAGCAACACTTTTGAATAGAAATAAAGTTTTTCCTGTGCTCAGCTCTTGAGGAAGAGCTGGGTGGGAGAGCAAATACCAGGAATAATAAGACTCAAAATCAGGGGCTAGCAAACTGTGGCCCTGTTTTTATAAATCAAGTATTGTTGGCACACAGCTACACTGGTCTATTTATGTATTCCTGTGGCTGCTTTCCACTACGATGGCAGAGTTAAGCGGTCACAGCAGAAACTGTAAGGCTAGCAAAGCCTGAAGTGTTCACCACCTGGCCTGTTGCAGAGGCAGTGCTGGCCCTGCGGAGGAGGGTCACCCTGCTCTGGACCCCGGAATAGTTGTTGCGTTGACCCAAATCTGAAGTTTGGCTCCTTACTAATTTTATTTTCTCAACATTCTGGAGTCACTGCCCCATAGACCTAGAACGTTTGTTCCTCAGGATAGGATTTCCCACCTTGGAAGATCGGCATGGGAGGCCCCATGACCTCTGACCCTGAAGGAGCCACATCCCGAAGCCTGGGTCCTCCCCTGCACCGTGGCTGGGACCTGCCCAGAGGAGCCCCGGGGTCTCGTCCTGCTGCCCCGTTGCCCGCTCACCTTGTCCACCTTGTCCAGCCAGTCCTTATTGGCGGCCAGCTCCGCCATGAACGCCTGGTGCTTCTGCCACTTTGTGTGCAGGTTGCGGGCCTCGTCGTAGGACACGTCCTGGGCCGTCAGCATCTTCTCATCGATCCAGAGTTTCAGCTGGACAGGCACAGAGCGGGGATGGAGAAACGCACGCACATCTCAGAAGAAGGGAAGAGCGAGGCATGAAGTGGGGGCGGGTGAGCTGGGAGAAGCGGCGGATGTGGGAGAAGCTGGGTGGGGTTCAACTGCTCAGGGAACACGGCAATGGACTTGCTCTTGGCTCAAAGAGCCAGGGCGCCGTGGAAAGGATGGCTGGGGCGTGTTGGAGGGGACGGGGACTGAACCTCACCTCATGACAATCTTGTAAGAAACGCTGCTGCTCTCGGTTGTCCCGAAGGCGTCCCAGAAGCTGCTGCACTGCTTCCTGATTCTTCCCGTGTCTGTAACGACAGCCCCTTGTGAAACTCTTGAACTTGCTGTGAAGGGCTCATGACCCTCCAACTAACCCCGAAGCCTCCAGTCCCCCTCCTCTGGGCACAGTGCCTTCCAGGTACCTTGTAAAACAGCCAGAGTCCGATCCGGCGCCCAGCTCCCCTGGGTGACTTCATTTGGCTCCCGCGAGGGAGGCAGAACTTCCCAGCTCAAGGCTTAGGCCCTCTCTGACCACTGGGCTCTCCTTCCTCTACTTCTTGTCAGCCCCCAGCCCCATCGGCCAGGCTGACCTCCGTGTTCTCCATCTTTGAGGCCACCCTGCTTTCACTCATTTCCCTCTCGAACCCTCCATCGGTCTTGTCCTCATCATACCTCCTCTCGATGGAGTCCGCCTTCTCCCGGATCTTCTCGGCATGGATGTTGCCCTCAGACACCAGCTGCCGCCCGGCCTCCAGGAGCCCGCGGATCCGCTCCCCGTTGGCGTCCATGGTGCTCACGAAGTCTTCCAGTTTTTTTATGGTAGCGTCCGCAGCCTGGAGTGTCCCCGGCATCTCCGTGTGAGACAAAACGTATTCCTGTGTGGGAGGGGAGGTAGCCAGCTCCCGTCTCAAAGCAGAACTCGGTTCTCAGACACAGAGGCCACCCAGGGAGGGCAGGGCAGACCGCCCAGCCGTAGGTCAGGCGGAATGGTGCCTGACTGCGTGGAATCTCAGGAAGTTATAGGGAGCTGGGCTGGAGAAGCTTTAACGGTCCAAAGCCTATTCCACCCCCTTTCTAGCTATTGAGTCCGTTTCTTTAGTAATTATGTGACAAGCCAGTTTATGTCAATTTTGATAAGTCACGGTCCGTATTTTTCTAACATGTCTTTCCTGCCCATCCTGTTTCCTCAACTACCCCACCTGCTGCCGTATCCCTCCCCATCCACCTCTCTCCTTCACATGCCCCTGTCCCTGCTTCCCGCTTCGTCCTGACTTATTACCCTGGGCTCTCACCTGGCTGCTGAGCACGCCCTCGGCCTGGCGAGCATCCCGCAGGAACCCCTGGAAGCCATGGGCCTGGGCCAGGCAGCCCTGCCGGCTCTCCCACATGCGGCCCAGCTCCTCCCAGCCGGTTCCCAGGGCTTCGAGTCGCTGCCGTAGGAAGAGGCACTGGGGATCGGCCTGGTCCCGGGTCACCTCCTCACCCAAGGCCCGCAGCCGGCTGTACTCGCTCTGGGCCCGCTCCACCTCTCCCCGCAGGGCTGCGTGTTGGGCCAGGAGGGCCTCTGCCTCAGGCAGGGTGGCCGGCCCTTCTTCAGAGGCCACAGCAGTCTGCGTGCGACCCAGCCACGCCTGGAAGTCATCTAAGCTGCGCAGGAAGTCCTGCAGCCGCCGTGCCTCACCCAGCGACTCCTCTCGACGTCTCATGGTGGCCCTGAGGTCCTCCCAGCCAGCTTGCACCTCTCCAAGCCGGGCATGGATGGCAGAGCTTTGGGCGGGGTGGCCAGCAGCCAGGGCGTTTGCCTCTCGAGTCAGTTCACCCACCCGGGTGGCGATGGCCTCCAGGTCCCGCTCGGTGCCGGCCAGCTTGCGCTGCAGTGCCAGCACCCCAGCCAGGTCATTGCCCAGGCCCTGGGTGGACTCGATGACCTTGGTCTTTTCTCTCATCCAGGCCTGGGTCTCCGTGCACTCCAGGTGGTAGTTCTGGATGCTCAGAGCTGATGTCAGAGCTGCCTTCTTGCCATCCGCCAGGGACCGAAACTGCTGCCACCTGAGAGTGGAGGGAGGGTCTGACGTCTGGAGTGGCTCAGCTTCCCCGCCCTGTCCAGGTACATCTGGAAGCTTCTTCCCTGCCTCTCTCTCCCCACCCCCTCCATCCTCTTGTCTCCATCTTGATTGCTCCCTGTCCAGGCTCCAGCCTCTTCACACAACCTTGCCCCCTTTTATCTTTCATTATTCCCCTACCCCCAGCATCTTCCAGACCACCTTCCCACCACATTTTTGACCTCCATTCCATGTCCTACAGAACTCTCTGGCTGCCATCCCATCTGCTGTGTCCTCCCTCTCTCAGTTCCCTAGTCCCGCCCGCCAGCCACCTGTGGTTGAGCTGCTTCTGGGTGTTGACGATGCTGTCCTTGCCCGCGGGGTTGGCCTGCAGCAACTGCTCTGCAATGGTGTTCACGGCAGTAATTCGAGCTGCGAGGGCATTCATTTCTGGCTCCAGGGTCTCGAACCTGAGCGGGTGGCAGAGCCGGGTAAGATCGGCAGGAGGTGGTGACGCACCTGCAACCTCCCTAGACACCACTGGAAACTCCTCTCCGTCAGCATGAAGCTTGTTTACAGGAGCCTCTCACCTCTTACCTACAAGGCTCAGAGTCTCTGTGGGTCAAGGGGGAGTCCCCAGCTCCCCTAAACAAGTAGAAAAACAGTCATCTCTAGAGTTGCTCAAAAAGATGTGAAAGTTAAAGGCCAGCAATAGCTGCAGAAGTTAACTAATCCTGGCACAGGCCCTGCCTTCACCAGAACCTACCTTAAGTCCTCCGGGCCTCACTCCTTAGCTGCCTATCTGGGATCCATGTTAAAAATGAACTGATAACCAAAAATATGTAACTGATAAAGATGTGAAGCATAATTTCTCCCAGGGACATTTTACATTCTCAGAGATTGTCAGCAAACATTTTCCGTAAAGGGCCACATAGCAAATAGTTTAGGATTGTGGGCCATATGGTCTTTGTCACAAGTATTCAGCTCTGCTATCTTCGGATGATGTGTAGATGAATGAGTGTGGCTCTGTTTCAATAAAGCTTTATTTACAAATACAGGTTGTGGGCCGGATTTGGCCCAAGGGTTGTAGTTTGCCAACCCGTCATGGGATAATTTGAAAACTACCTGTAAAACCACCAAGAAATCTGACTATAGAGTGAGTAGTAGATGATAGTAAGGCATTGCTAATTTTGTTCTGTGTAATAATGATATCGTGGTTCTCTAAAAAATACGACCTTTCTATATGATATTTACATTTATTATTCTGAAAATCAAGCTACTTCATGAGGTCAATCAGTGTCTCTATCTAAAGGTTTATAACTTCAAAGCCTTAGCTATTTTAAGTCCACACACACAATTAAAAAAATAAGTTTAAGAATACTTCCTCATATTTCTTAAAGGATGCATCCTGGAGAATGTAGAGATGAAATGATAATATTGGGGATTGGCTTTTGAAAAGGAAAATGAATCCAATAGAGCAAGATATTAACAATTACTGAACCCGGGTGGAGGCTATATAGGAGTTTGTTGCACAATCTTTTCTACTTTTGAGTATGTTTAGCGGTTTTCATTAAAACAACAAAAACCAGACTCAGAGGGATATAGCAAGAGCAGGCAGTTTCCAGTGGGGCCTGCCATGCCTCTCCCCAGCCCCCCAACTCACAAGGCCATTCCAGAGGGAGCCCGCAGGGGGCCTACCTTTGCTGCACCACCTCCAGGTCCTCCAGGCGCTCGGGCAGGGTGAGCCCGTTGAGCCACTGCTCCTTCTCCTCCACCCACAGCCCGCAGGCCCCGGCCTCGCTGAGCATGGTGTAGCGTGCCAGGGCCGCCTCCAGGGCCCTCGCCCGCTCGCCCGCCCGGGCCTGCAGCTCCTCGTAGTGCCGCTCCAGGGTGGGCACCCGGCCCTGCACCTCGGGTGTGCGGCTCAGTGCCAGAGGCAGAGCGGCAGCCTGTTCCCTCAGGGCGTCCAGGGTTGGCCGGTGGCCTCGGATCTCCTCCTCCAGGGCCCGATGCTGCCGGGCCAGGGCCTGCGTGGAGAACTCGTCGTGTCCCAGCTCCGGGCTAGACACCAGGCGCAGCGCGTCCACCAGCCAGGCCTCCATGTCGTTTGCATC